TCTTTTAAGTGTAAATTATTCCAAACGGCTAATGCGACATTCACTAACGGAAATCCTCTAAATACACAGCAATTTGTTCAACGCTAGTCAAACCCATCGACGAAATTGCAATGAATGCTCCAAAGGTTTTCATTTCACTTGCTTACAAAGCGTGGCATGAGATGCAAATGACAGCTGTTTAAGCTACGTCTTAAAATTTCCGACCGATTCGCGCTGTCTGCTTGTGTTTGCGTGATTGGGCGATATTCCTTGACATTGTCTCCAAATCGGCTTCTAGTACCAACAGCTCGTATGTTGTTAAAGAATTATACAAGGTTACTGCCGATAGTTGCAAGAACATACAAAAAAGACTAACGTATCACAATACAGAGGTTGATCCGAATTAGGGTCAACCGCACCAGAAATAAGGTTGAAATGCACCTGCAAATGTGGCACTCAGATATAAATATTTGAAATAATTTCTCGGTATGGAAGGCATACAGTCAGAGAATGGACGGTATCAACGGGGATTTTAGCCGACTTCCTATAGTTTGCTGGTCCATGGATCCAAAAGCTTTGGAAGTCTGTAATGATACGACAATCAATTCGTAAGGAATCTGAAATGAAACCACTGCATAAGAGCAAGTTGAGTTGAACGGGGAAATTGTCATGTTCTGGTACAAGACAGAAGTGTCAATTCGTAAGAATCTGAAATGAAACCACTGCATAAGAGCAAGTTGAGTTGAACGGGGAAATTGTCATGTTCTGGTACAAGACAGAAGTGTGACCTCCGGATTCAAAGAGCGAAACTCACTTGAAAGTCCGGAAAATTCTGCGTACCATGACGTACTACCATTGTCAAACCGTAAAGTCTGTGCAAGTTATGGTGTGGTCTGAAGTTTTGAGCAGAAACTCTGTATAAGAGTTTGTACGTACTTTGACGTAATCTGGCATCTGGAAGACATTTTTTGAACTTTTTAACGTAAAAAATATGTTCAATTTACTCAATCACCAAAAAAACAGTTATATTACGTTCCAAAAAGTGAATGGGTCTTGTAAATGGAGGAGTGTTAATCCCCTAATAAAGGTTACTATTTATTTGTTAGTAAGCAGTACTTCGTTCAGAAGCATTCAGAACGGAACTCACATCTTAGATTGATAATCTGTCATCAAGGTGGAGAAGTTTTAAAAGCAGACTGTAGTAAATTACAGACCGTAAGGGAAAGAATTGAAAATGCGTTTTTGTCAGCTGAATTTCAGTAGCCGTAGTCCGGAAGTGTTTTATGGTTCTTTGGTCTCCGTCATTCGAGAGCATGCCAGCATCAAACTGTCAAAAACATCGAAGAAATTAGACGCAGACGCCGTGTTTCCGTAACTGATTTCGTTCAGCCAGCCAGGTTTTTATCATATTGTTCTTTTCACCTCAAAGTGTGACTGCGCGCAAATCCGTTAGGTCGGTGGAGTTCGTCTAAAGCCTTATCGAATGCAATCCTGTTCTCAGCAAGTATGTCTGGTGCTTGGTTTTATGATTAAGGCTTTCGATGTTAGGTCAAATTACTCTACCTCATGACGAAACAGCTAGATCGCGTTTTAAAGCGTAGAGGAATAAATGTGTCCAGAGCCCTATTTCCATCGAAAATTGTCCCCTTTTGTCGTATCACCAATTAGGTTTTAAGCTGGTCCTACTCCAAAATATTTGGGCATGATTTTTGGCTTGGTAAGGGACTAAAGTCTAATAATGGCTCCCCTTTGAGGTGCAAGTCTTCACCGGTGATGAGATAATCCATTTTTAGAGACAAAAAGTTTTCAGTGCTCATCGAATTAAATCAAAGATTAGTTCTTAAGGAAAAGACAAATGTGTATGTTTGCTCAAAAAACGCTAACTGATTTTGTTCACACGCTTACTTTGCACAAGTTTTCAGGGAATATTGATGTCTGCACTGAGAACCCAAAAAGATTTCTTGGTTTTTGCTGTTCATCAGCTGTACGCAAAATCCAATGACTACACCAGATCTCGGCTAGAAAGACCTACAGGAAACTAGAGTGATTAATTGTGCTAATTATATGACTGCTTAATAAGTGATTAGCAGAAAACTGACGGTAAATATTTTTCGCAACCAAGTAGATGTGGTGGCATATGATACTGATAACGGAAGCTTACAGTTCGAACCGCTGGGTTTGCACTGGGTTGGCAACTAAGCCGAAGATTATTGGTCCATTCTAGTCAATCCTTTAGACCCTGTCAAATCTTCAGAAATTACTCAACAGAGCTATAAGATAAACCCAGGCTGGTCCCTCAAACATATTTTGCTTTTTTCTTGCAACCATTCTGTTCACGTCTCGCAATAAGTGGCCCGGTATTTAAATGACTGCTTCTTTCCGATCAGCAACCAACTCCATAGCTAGTTCTTTCTTGCAAGATTGCTGTTATTCGCTGTCAGTGCACCCCACTTAGGTGCCTAAAATTGTAAAGATCCTGTATATACTCTTGTGCTTACTTACACTCGGAGCATCTTTTATTAGGCAACTAGGTAAACGACTTGAACTACGCGTTTCAAACTGTTTAATCGTTCAGAAAATGGTGTCACTTTCACAATCTGCCTTAAACATTCGTGAGTGTAAGCCCACTTGCATAAGAATCACTGTGCATTACACGCTTCGGAGTAAACCAAAAGCCTTTGAAAACACTTGTCACACAATTTGTTTTCTTCGCAGTTATTCGGTATGTAAAGATGAAAAACAGATACTAAATATCGTCGCAGTAAACGGACCCCATAACCCAGCATTGTGTTCTAACTACCCTGAACTGGATAGAGAATGTCTAATAATAAATAAATGAAAAGTTGTCGGGATCTTCCTGTGATTCACGTATTCTAAAAAATGGCGAGATAGCGAAAAAGATCTGGTGTGTTCACACAGCACTGATGCTATCGGCACTCCAGCGGCTGGTTGTCCGAAACGATCATTTTATATTCGGCTTTTCTTGTGTTTAAATGTAAGGAAAGCATGCCAAAAATAGTGTAGAAGAGTATATAACCAGAAAAGAGCTCAGCGCCTTTCCGGTAGATTAGGAAAACTAACTTTTCTAGTCAGTGGACTGGAAAAAGCATGGTCTTCTTTTCCACAGTAAGAAAGTCAAGTAAAATTCAGCATTCTCATGGCTGCATGAGAAAACTCTCTATGCTGAACGGAGCACCAATCTTATGGAGGGCCAACAGTAAAATGATTAAAAATAAAACTTACTGAGCTTTACAAAGCTGAGAAATCCCCGACAAGAATACCTCTCAGTGGATTTTTGTGGCAGGTTTGCAATTACACAATTGCCATTTGCTGGAAAACTGGGTCGCTCAATGGGAAGTGCCACCCGGAAAAAGTTTACCGTTTCTAATATAAAAGCCGTAGATTCAAAGGACAGTTCCTGCTATCGGAGCAACCGCAACTATTTATTTCACCAAGAATTACTTGAATACATATTACCGCTGATTAAAAATCCAAGCAGACATTCGGTAGGTTTGAATTTTTCAGTGGAGTTTGACTTACTTTTTCAGTTAGTTCCCAAATGAGCCCTAAGTAGTCTTAAAATTGCGTACAATAAAAGTTCACGTGAGACCATGTTCCTCTTCTGAGACCTGTTTTCACGTGTTGTGCGCCACGTTTTTTCAGGCACTGACCATGAACCACAAATTATTGAGGGTAAAAAATAGAATAAACATAGTATAGATGTAATACACTACTCACAAGGTTGTTGAAAATGTTCAGTTTACTTTCAACAATCAAATCTATCGACAAAAGGACGGGGTCGCGATAGAGTCTCCTTTAGGTCCCACGCACTCATTGGACGGTTAACATTGTGTTGTCGCTACGTGGACGGCATTTTTGTACTTGCCGACGAAACCATCAGCACAACAGACATGCTAAGCAGTTTTGATTCAGTCCATACTAATACCAAGGTTACTATTGAATTAGAACAGAACAGGCAGTTAAGTTTCCTCGATGTTAATGTTAGAAAGAAGACTGACGGGACCATAGAACGCGAGGTACAGAAAGTAAACGTGGAATAGTCAGTATATTCATTTTGATATGTTCGTCCCGTTGCAACAAAAAAGCAACCTAATTAGATGCCTGACTGAGAGGGTGATAAAGATATGCTCGCCCGACTGCTTAGAAGGAGAACTAAAGTGCTTGAGACGCATATTCCTGCAGAACGGATATCCTGAAAGATTCGTACTCAAGACTATGGAGGCCGTCAATCTTAAACCCTGCACCATGTTCTGTTAAAAAGAAGCGCATATAAATGTTGCTTCCATTCAAAGGCGACTCGGTTGCTGAACTAATCACCAGAAAGCTTAACAACTCCGTTGATACGACATACTTGGCCGCTAATCTATGTTTGAGCTTCAACTCCAGCTCCACTATCAAATTCTGCTTGAAGGACAAATTGCGACGTTCTACCACTAGCTTTGGTGTGTATTCATTTGTATGCTCGTGCCGAGCATCATCCGTTGGTCGTGCGACAAAGCATTTGTCGGACAGAATGCGAGAACACAATCCCCTATCTGAGTGGTGGTGGGAAGAAACCAGGCTGAAGCGCGATTGCATCACATTTGGCCGAAACTATTCATGTCATATACAAGGAGTAAGCCTTCATCATCATATATCGGGTACCTCTGAACCGACCACGACTGGTACGATCCAGATTACTATCGATCGCAGAGGCGATTGGAATCCGACTGCTGGATCCGCAACTTTGCATCCAGAAGAAACTTGTGCGACCTCTGAACTTGAACTGGCCTACGAAACATCAGGTCCCACAAGTCTGTCTGACATTGACTTCACTCACCTGATTCCGTGGCATATCCCTCATCCAACCCCACTTAATTTGATTTATATTTCTCAAAAGTGTAGATAGCCCCGATCTTAACTTTTTTCACGTGATTTCTGCTACCATATAAATTTGTGATGTATTAGCCAAGAGGAATAATCACAGAAAACAAGCATTGTTTGCTACATTCTTCGTTCTCATGTTGAAAAATCGTCGACAGTCCTTAACCAGTTTTTCCCTTCTTGGAGCTTATCAGGTAAGCACATCTCCCGAGTTTCCGTCACCCACATGTTCTGCATACTCATTTGCATGCCATTTTGTTTTTGACAGAAGACTCACCTTGAACCCAGCCTGAGGACATCATAAAAGAGGGATTCAACTAGGTACTGTTTGAGTCTTTCGTCGAAGACAAATTGGTATGCAGATGAGTGTACAAGTTGACTAAATATTCTTTAAAAGCATACAATGTTTTGAGTGGTTGAAGTTTGGTCGCAACTGTCAAAATATCAGCGAAAAGCTACAGATTTATATGCCGCAGCATGTTTTCTACCACGAGGGCAGACAAAATCTCACGCACTTTTTAATGTTGAACATTCAAAATGAAATGTTACAACGAAATACTTCCGCCTGAAATATGATCCAATCGCCATCCGAATTCTAATAAAAAATACGTTCAATAATCTCATAAATTTACCGGTTTAACACGACGTGCTGTTTTCGTCTGGATGTCTATTTTCTGTTAGTGTGTGCATCTCTTGGGTCTGTGAAGGCAGTTTAGAAACACCCTAATGTGCATTCAGACAGATGAAAAATTTAATCAAAAGAAGCATCCTCTCTATGGGCAAGTCACTATATCACTTCACACTGGTCAAATGACTTCACTTTTGGATGGCTGATATTCAACCTCGGCTAATGTTGGCTCGAGCATGCCTTATGGACTGTCCCCACGGATAGCTTTTTGAGGCGTCTTGTTCCTCTCTGCTTGTTAGACTAATGAAGACTCTTGTGTTGAGTGACCATATGTGGGTTGTGGGGTATATCTCACGCGAATCAGCGGACCAGAGGGCAATTGTTATTGCAGAAGCGCACATTGAAGCTGAAACCATAAAATAAAAAATAAATGTATGAAGTATACAAAATATATATCCAAACACTGGAAACTTGGAAAGGTAAAATTAACCCCAGTGAGGCAACAGGTATCTTGTGCCTTGCATTTTTTCACTCGCTGTTAGATGCAAGGCCCTGCAAAGAAAAGGCACTGGGTGATGTGGTTATCTAAAGAATGCCTTCGCTGCGGAGTTGTTCATTAGTCGAGAAGCACCAAATGAACCGTTATGGACTATTGGACAGGGGAGCAGAGCTTTCATGTGCCTCTTGTTTACAAAAGGAAACATCCATCTTCTCCCTGAACGCGTCTTCCTGAACTTTCCTGGGTATCCACTGACTGCTACTCAAATGCAAGCAAATGCTCCAAAGCGACTCCACAAATTCCGTAATAGATTTCACTTCTCAAGAGATGCGAAGCGGATTTACTAGAGAACATACTACTCTCACGCTCCACCGTTACACCGATAAGGTTGACTGCATGATTCAAAAATCATTAATCTATCCTGCTGCATTTGGTAACGATTCATGCAGCTTTGAGAGTTTGGTGCAAAAAACATTACCCATTTGACTAAAGGTGAGAGCTCCAATATCGTACATCAGAAAATTTTGAAAACTATTAGATTGCCCATGCACGAAAGCGTGTTCATTCAAACTATGGGGCGAACAGGTTCAGTCGTTTGCAACTGTTCCTCCGTCAAACAAGCGCTAAAACTTCTTGGATGACAAATGTATTAGCCAGTGTTTTACATTCAAGTTAGCAGTTTAGGTGATTCAAGACGACCGTGTTCTGCTTTCGATTACCATTTCTATAGAGTAGACGGAGTTGAGTGGTGGATAAGCGAAAAATACGGTTTCTTTTGTCTAACTCGAAGTCCATCTTCAAATTGGTGGGAAAAATAAAAACTAATGGTCCTGTGTACACCAGATAAACGTCCCTCAACTTGCAGTGGTAAAATAGTTGTGTGGAAACAGTTAGGATTAGTGACCTATGCATGGTTGTGGTCTGTGAGCATATGCTCATTTTCGGGAGTTCGTCAAATCAGGGCATCCATAAATCAGATTAGTCGTACCTTATTGAGAACAAAGAATATTCCGTGGAATCTGACCTGTCTTTTAAAACCAATACGCCTCTTGATATAGCGCTAACTACTGTGGATTCAGCAGAAAGCTGACCGTAGGAAACAATTAATCCAATCGTAGAAAGATATATTTCTTCTTGGTAATTCAGCCGCGAAAATTTCCCCGTCTGGTTCCTTCCAAACTAAACAGTAAAATGCGTTCCGCTGAAAAGGCCGTTTAGTTCCTGGGGCACTTACCGTTTGGAACGAGTAAACCTATATCTGTAGAGATCCACCCGCATTTTTGCGAGATTCTTTCTTTTTAGGTGCTTTATCTGTGGATATTGATTGACGTGATCGCAACAGGCCCGTTGTTTCATACCGTTTATTGCTGAACCGAGGACGACTTCAGTTGATTTTAGGTAAAAGCTCCTTTGGTTCGCTAGCTTCATACATGTTCGGCCCTTCCTAAGTAGATACTCGCACAATGGGCCGCACTTCAAAAATGATTGTGGTTCCCGTCCAGGTGATAGGAAAAACAAGCAAACTACATGTGGATGTACAGATGAATGTTGCTTTACTCACCAGTTTGACATATATGCAAACTATTTTTCCACGAACTTGCGCTGATGGAATATTCATGCTAGACAGATATATTGCAACTACAAGACAACATGACAATTTGGTTGGTGTTGTTGAGTAACGGCGAAGTACACTGCGCACAGATGACAATTCACCCGGTAAAACAATCTTGGACCGTTTAATACATTTCACCTATTTTGTTCGGTATAGTGAATGATCTAAAATGACAGTGATTTCACAAACTCATGGAGTACGATGGCACATTCGTGGTAAAATTCAAAACAGTGGGAAGACGGCTGAATCCGAACGAGGATTATCACTCATATTTTTTTCAGCTAGAATATTACAATGCTGTTCCTTACTCGGTCACAAAATACACGCGCTCACATGCAACCAGAATTTCTATCAAACTAACAGCTCTTGTGTGTCTCAGACTTAACCTGACAACTGAATCCGCTAGCTGACAGCTGTGACTTATAAGAGTGCCTGGCTGTAAAATAATATAGCCCACGTGTACGATGTTTCTGCTTTCCATTAATTGTGGGAAAATATAGAAAAATTTATCGATGCTATCCTGTCATATCATCATTCGAGAACTTCCACCACATCCACGTACGGCACCTGGGGTTTAACTCTGTAGGCTTGAAGTTTTTACTCGTCTGGAAAATCATCGCCTCAGTGGTGTGTCGGATCATACAAATGCACTTTTGGTCCTTGAAATTGTGCTTTCAAGTCTCCATCAACGAGTTCGAACTCTCTTTGGATCCTGAAAACGCTGATGTGACACATCTCTTAACTACAGCATCGGCTCCACTGCCCGTCGGAAGCATTGGCTCTCTTCACGGTCCTTCTGGCCCACTTTACGTCCATATTCCACATCCGCGGAAACACGCCTTCAGACTCAGGCATTTACTGTCAACGCCTCTGGTGATTAGGAAAATATCATCCTGAGACTCTTTTGGGTTCCACATATTTTGAGGTAAATAACTTGATCAGGGTATGCTACCAAGAGTTATTCTGAAGCCATCTGGCTTTTTTTCAATTTCTTATTGACTGAAACACGAATAAACAATAGGGTTTGCTATCTGATACTCTACGCACATTGGATCTAATCAGTGTCGTTCTCAGCGCATAGTTTATTTTGTGCGGAAGACCAAATTGGTTAACTGATAGATCCTCTCCAACAGATGCTTACATAATTAACCACTTCAGAGGCCAATGTGGACGGCTTTTTCTCCTTTTTACAAGTTTGGATCAGTTCACAGAAGAATATATGTTCACTAATGGGCAAATTTAGGTTAACGTCAGGAGAAGTGAGCATTGTGTTGAAGTTTCTTCGGTGCATATCCACGACCTCAAGAAACAGGATTTCTTCTAAAGTGTACTTAAGTACCTGTTTTCCAAAATAAACTGCGACGTAGAAACAATAGTTGCCATGATATTCATCCTGTTGAAAGCTACGTCACCTCATGGATGGCAAAATGAAGTGTGATGTTTCCCACGGTCATAAATAAATATTTTTCTACGAGCTGGGCGAAATCAAGCAGTAATACCTTACCGTTTAGCAACCAACAGCCGTACTGGACCAGAGTAAGTAAGCTGTAAAAGGCTATGGAAGCATTTATCATTCATGGGGTGGCAGATAACAAACAAGGAAAAAGCGTAAGAACTTAAGATATCGAGTTTCAACTTTGCTCGACAGTCGTCGCACGCTTGCACACCGAGAGCGCAACAACAGCATCGCATGAGTAGCACTTAATTCATTGTGACAAGGCTTTAAGAAGGTGGCCGTCAGTGACACCTGTCACATTCCATAAATTTCAACTGCCCGACTCAAGTTATCGCTAAACAAGAGCAAATAAATTGCGCCAAAGTCTGCAACCCTAAAAGGTGCGTTTTGTGGGCTAACGATAGCTGGGAAAGTATCAGATTTCAAAAAAAAACCTAATGCCCATTGTTATGACGAATCCAGACAAAAAATTTGAAGCCGTAAACTGTTATGGAACGTAAAATGACCTCAATGTGAAACGTATATGTCCATAAGTTTCAACTGCGATGCGAATGCTGTAGGTTTATTCAGTGTTGTCATATTATTATTGTGAATACGCTAGATTACCACCTACAATTATGTTTGGGGTTTACTTAGAAAGCACACATGTCTCTCCATCAGTCTCTGTGTATCCTTGAGTGGACTTACACGGTAAGTAAGGTTCGAACCGATTGGCTGATGAGTTTATTCACAAAATTTGTGATCCCCTTTATAGTAAAATGGCTGGAAGTTGTCATCACACTGGTTAACGTGATGCGGAATTCAACAGTGTTACCGCCATCGACCCAATCCATGCAGTTACATATGTTAAGTCATACAATATTCAAAGTTGTGTTTATCTCTTAGTTCCTCGCTAGTTTTACGGTTGTAAATGAGCATATTCGCTCAAAGGGTATCATAAGCGAGAGATTCAAGCGAAATAGCATCTGAGTGTATTATGTTTTTGAAAATTATTTGACG